TGTGGCCGGCTGGGTACAAAGGAAGATAGTTTATAAGAGACAATGTTTTTTTATCCTGATCAGTTTCGTTTCGTACACAGGGTCAAACTGAAACGTCTTCTATAAATAATGAAGAAGAAGAAAGTGCGGAAGAGCAGGTGAGATATGAACTGTACAAAGAATAAATTTTTGGCATGTGACGCCATAAAGTGTTTAGATCTCCCTCCACATTTAGTATCGTGCTCTAGTTCTTTCAGAGTTAGCTGTGTCTGGCACTGCGTACCTGCAAATACTTGCTTTAAAAAGAATAAAACTTTAGCCAAGCTGCTGCAGCTTAAGGTAGCACCAAATCTGGTGCTCTGAACTTAGCGGGACAGTTAAAACCGTACCATTGATATGTTTCAGACCCCAGGATTGTCCAGAAAGCGAGCAAGAGCATCTTTGTCTGATATATCAAGTCTGGAAGACATCGAAGGGTTGAGCGTTCGGCAGCTGAAGGAGATACTTGCGTGTAACTTTGTCAACTACTCAGGATGCTGTGAAAAATGGGAACTGGTGGAAAAAGTGAGCAGACTGTACAGAGAGAGTGAGGAAAACCACAAGACACGTAGGTTTATATTTAATTCTCACTTTCTTAAGACTGCTTATTTTCTGGTTTCCGGTAGCTGGTTCTGCCAACAGAAGGACTTGGTGTCCAACTTGGTCTGCTCAGCTGGAACAACTGGAAAGTGCGTTTTAGCAATTCAAGCTGCATCTAGAGTAGCTGAACATGGCTCTAGTGAGTAAGTGAAGCTTTCCAGGATTGTGCTGGTTTTCTGAGACTTTTCCAAAGCTGAGAGCGCTCAGCTTTCACAGTGAAATTGCACAACCGAGAACCAGTTCCCCAGAGAAAATGAAACTTGGCACCCCTGTGCCCTTTGCTAGGCTTCACAAGGTATTAGCGAGAGCTTCTCAGTAGCTGTCAACAGACCAAAGCAATTCAGGTCTCACTGTGGGGCAGAAGTAAAAGCTCCAGTGGCAAAAGTCCAAGTCCAAATGGTGTGGTCTTGGGCTGTGTTTTCATGATAAGGTGGTCCTGTGGCTGCAGCCAGGGCGTTCGTTACCCTCTGCTACATGTGACAATTGGAGTCTTCCACCTGCGTGGTTGTAGCGCATCCACAGAGCGATGCCTGTGCACCGAGTGTGATCTGAGGAGCAACCTCGTGATGTCGTCACCAGTTGGGAAGTGCCTGCCTGGCTCGCTGCGCCTGCATCCAGCAGCTGGGCTGTGAAGAACTGGAGAACTTCATAGCGCTGGGCCACTGCCCAGCCAGCTTGGGCCAGCACAGGGCTGCAGGGCTGGTGGTCATCAGGCGGGGGATCACCAGCTAATCAGGGTGGGGACGGGTTGGAAGGTGGGGGGGCTGCTTGTGAGTGCTGAAACCTGGCTTAAGTGAGACTCGCAGTTTGGCCAGGACTAGAATTGAAAACTGGGCTGAAATCAAGCTTTAAACTTAGGATTTTTTTTTTTTCCAGCATGGTCTGACGGAACATTCGGTTATCGCTAGGGGACGGCGGCTGTTTGCTGTGAAACCTGAGAGGTTCTGTTCAGTTCTGCCACCTTTATGGCCCACTTAAGGCTTCTGCTGCTTAGTCTGCCGTATTATTACTGTGTTTAATCTGAGGAATGTGTTCTGCCAAACAGAATAAGCTCAGAGATGGAACAGCAGCGTGTTCTGAATTTTCATCCAACACATTATTTCACAGTCATTATGTTCTGAATTGAAAATGGTTTCTGAGTTTAAAGAATGAAGCCAAATAATGGATGTTCACTTAGGGATTTTTCTAGTTCTGGTTTGTTTTGGTTGTTTTTTTTAAGGAATATAGATTAATTCTTAGCTGTGGGTTAGAAAAACTGTTGTGAATAGGGAGCAGCACTGCTTAGTGTGAAACTGGCTGTCTGTGCCTTAGGGGTTGCCTGGGCTAGAACTGAGCTGGTTTCCAGGTCCTGAGTGTGTGACCTCCCTCCCTCTCCATTGCGTTTCAGAGGGTGAGAAGATGCAGCTGAACGATGACGACGACAACCTGTGTCGGATCTGCATGGACGCCGTCATCGACTGCGTCCTGCTGGAGTGCGGCCACATGGTCACCTGCACCAAGTGCGGGAAGAGGATGAGCGAGTGCCCCATCTGCCGCCAGTACGTCGTGCGGGCCGTCCACGTCTTCAAGTCCTAGCCCAAGGCCGAAATGGGGTTTTGTGGTGACCCTGGCGAGCAGGAGCGCCGAACCTTGGGGCACGTCTTGGCTTTTTAGCTCACAATAAATCAACATCTTGAACATCAGGATCTAGATGTTTGTGAAATGTTTTTCTACAGCACAGCACATCCTGCGGTTGGGCAGTACAATGGGATGCCCGCGTGTACAGTAATGGCGCCCGACTTACCTTACAAACCCACAGACTGTGCGAGTCGAACTGTTTACAGCAGTTCTTGCTCTCTTCTGAAGAACCTCACTGCGAATTCCTGCGTTCGGTACTCAGCAAGTGGGCAGATGTCACTCGCCCGTATTAGCGTGTCGCATTGCTTGGTGCGTTAGAAGAAATGCCCGTGTCAGCTGAATAGTCAGCTTGTACTCATTACAGACTGTGACTGTCCAACACTGTCCCTGCAACAGTGGGGACAGGACGAACTCTGCCTGTAGGAAGCACTGCCATTAACTGCACCTGCGCAGAAGCCCTTAAGCAACCAATAACTGCCGATTGCTTCGCCCTGAATGTCTGCCATGACACGTGCTGTCTTGGCCGTCCTTTGTGAATGTAGAGACAGCTCCAGCACTTCGCAGCGCTCTGTCGTTCCGCAGGGCTCTGCCATGTGGTGTCCAAATACCCATTACCAAGTGGTTTTTAGTTTAGGAAGAAAATATTTTTTTAAAAAGGGGTACAGGAACCCACATTATTGTGGTTCTTAATCCACTCATGCCTATTGTAACAATTACGTGTGATGATTGTACGCCACGTGCCGACAACCTGATGTTACTGTGAACACTGATCAGGGTCATGAAACTACTTGCTGCTAACATGTGGAATGTACAGTGTTACTAACGCTGACAGGGATGGGGTTATTAACGACCCCTGGTGCTGTCAGCCCCCAGCAGGGGTGGGGGCTGCTCGCAGCCAGAAGGTGGAGGGTTGTTGCAGGGTGCCAGAGGGATGGCAGCAGGGGCAGCTCCTGGTGTGGGGCCATGCTGCCTGTGGCCATGACCCTGCTGCAGTAAGGTCAGGGTAAAAAGGAGAGGGGAGGAGGGACCGGGCCTGCCCCGGGGTCTGTCCTTCAGGCAGGGGTGATGGACAGAGCTGCAGCCTCTCCTCTTACCTCCCCCCTCAGACCAGGGACATGTTTTCCTGGGCTGCTGTACCTCTGCCGCACTGCTGCGCCTGCTCTTGTCTTGTAGGTGAATGAGAGAGAGGAAGTAGCTCCTCCTCAGAATAAAATGCACAGCTTAGAGACACCGCGGGTGATTTTTCAGAAGGGAGCAAACCTCTCCATGGCTCTATTTTTTAGAAGTAACATTTTAATGGTACTTAATTCCTGGAGCGTCTGTTCAGTGGGTAAAAGCTAATGAAGGAAAACATACCCTACCTGTTCTTCCCATGCTGATCATTAGCCACACAAGCTTAATAAAGATTTGTGATGGGCTGTCTCAGCCTCGTCTCCTTTCTTAACCCAGCTCCAGCCGTACCGTTCTGGAGACGTGGATGTGTTCCTCGGGACTCAGCTGGAGGAAGGCCATGGGTGCGTATTTCCTTCCCTCTCCAGCAGACTGGGCCCAGTGAGCAGCACGGGACAAGGGCCAAGCGCCGCGCAAGTCGGGCAGGAAGAGGGGCTTCGGCCCCTGCTCCTGGAAACGAGGACGCCCCCGGACACACGTTGGGACAGAAACCCGCAGAGCCAGCGCCTCTTTTTGTACAATTGTTTATACAAATTCAACAAAGGTAAAACTGCATCAGGAAGGTCTACGAAAACAACACCGTACAACAATGGCACTTATGAATGCAGAATCTTACAATCAGGAAATAACCATGTTATAAACCTTAAATGAGAACTCAACTCACACTTCAAAGAAAGAGAGACTACGTTTGACCATTTATTCTACGGCTGGACTCACTGTATAAATTAATTTCATATTGAGTACAAGAGCTCATGCTACAGAGTGAAACCCTCCTATGTGCAAAAGCTGAAATTGGAATTTTTTTAAAATTTTGAGAAAAAGGTGATTTCTATACAGATAAAACTTGGCAAAGTGTTTTTACTTCAACTATAATTTACACCTTATTTCCACAACATGCTTATGTCACTTCTGAAGTATACAAAGCAGGATATAAACTTCCATTAAAACATGCTTGAAGTTGAAAGTATTCACCTACTTCTCCTGACCTGGGCACGTCTGTAGATAGATACTGTCTACGAAGTATAGGTTAAGTTCTCGCCTACCATAAGTAAAGATAAAAATTGGCAATCGAAACCGAAACACTGGTAATGCATTCAAACATTGCATAAATAATTTTTAAACAATTTTTGTACAAAAATAGTTCTGCATAATGTAAGATGTAACAAAACAAAACATGTTAAGAAGGCAGAAATGCAGTGCGTGGTCCACTGTAATGACACCAACTCTTATTTTTTTTTTAGTTTGTTTTAAGAAATGAAGAGCAGAAATCAAATTTACACTACCAAGCACATGCTGTGGTACTTTAAATAACAGTATTTCTTGGAGATCAGTCGTCTTCTGGGTGTGAACAATTCTCACCAGTAACAGTCGCCTTATGAATTTGCATAAGAGCCAGTGCAGGACATCCCAGGTAGACGGAATTAGTGGCACAAGTTGAAATTCCTAACATGGGTAGTTTCACGTTGTTCTCGACAAGAGTTGTAAAATCCAATCACGGCATTTTCCGATATTCCAAGTTCCCAATTGAAAATAAAATCCCTACGTGTTCTTAGTCCCTGCCCCCCCTCGCCCCAGTATTTACACGTGTCCTTTAACTAACTCAGTTTTTGCAGAAGTTTTTCTTCCACTTGCCCAAACTGAACACTTACGGACATCTCCGCAACGAACTGCTCACAGCCTTCTTTCGTCACTTGCTTGCAGTACCTCAGGTCGATCTGGCAGATGTTTCCGCAACGTTTGAAGTAAGACAGGCACTGATCAGTAACCTTATTGCAGTCTGCCGGGGGAAAAAAAAGGACAAGAAAGGGGGAGAAATGTAACAGCGCGTCTGGGTTTGTTCTCCAGCACCAGGATGGTTTATCCCAACTGCGGTCAGTCCTTGCTCCTCCGGCGCTGCGCCGACAGCAAAATCGCCCAGCCAGGCCCGTGGCCGCGGTCCAATCCCCGCGACTCTGCTGCGTAACCGACGAGACGAAGCGAAGCACGCCAGGAGCGGCGGCCTTGGGAGATAAA